CAATTTGGGTATTAAAAACTTTTTACATAAGCAAAACGATTATTACATTTTAATTAATAATTTTTAGCCCAATAAATAATTGATTAACTAATTTTAAGAATAAAAATTACCTAAAGGAATATTTTTGTATGAATATCAAGTTATTAAAAATTGACCAATAATTTAAAACCAATTCTGTCGTCTTCAATTTCTTGGTTAATTTATTGAAGCTAGAAAATTTACCATAATTTTTGTACTATACTCGTATATACTAATATAATTTTAACGTGTTCTTGAAAAATTTTTAAAATAAAAAATTGTCTATGTAAATAATTTAAAAATTCGTTCTTCAACTTCAAAAGGAATTTAAAAAGAAAATTTCGTATAATGACAATAATTGTACAATTAAGAACTTTCAAATTATAATGACGATATGTATAGCAAATGTCGTTTTTGTGTTATGTAATATAAATATTTAGTAAAAGAATACAGTAAAGTTTAGGTATACAGACACAACCTGTAAATATAGATAGGATTTTTCACGACGAACTGTAGGTATTGAAATGGGAGACTGAGTAAACCTAAGAGAGTGACAATTTAAAAATATTTTGGGTCAAAATTTGGCAATACAGGGTGATTCTTAATTTACCTAAAATTACAGCTGTAGCTTTTGAACTATTTATGGGAATTAATTTAGTGATTAATGATATGCACCATATACCACCAAAATATTCTTTTGTTGTAGTCTTAAAAGTTCCTATACAGGGTGTTCGGAAATAGTGGTACTTCCCATTGAGAGTAGGTAGATTCACCGACTCAAAATAAGACAAAAATTTCATATAAACATGGGTCCGCAAATCCACCCTACGAGGCATTTGAGGATGATTTTAAATAAATAGGTTTTTGCGAATAACTTTTAACTGCTTTGAAGAAGAGGGATAAGTTTTGTATGATTGTACAAAATAATTAAAAAATTAACACTAAAGGGCGTTTTTAACTGGACGTACTTTAAACTAATTGAAAGAATTAAGTACTGGATGTAATTTAAACTAAGGACTAAGTAATAAGAAATATAGCAGGACACTTAACTAATTAACTTAAACATAAATTAAAACCTAATAAATTAAATATCAAGAATCCCCGGAAATATACAAGGAGAACTTTTCCGATGTGACAAGTAAATATACATTTTTCTGTTAGGATCTCGAATTTTATAATTTTGTGCATGAAATTGCAGTTAAAAATAGTGATATTGTTAACAAATAACGGAAATGCAAATAAATTGCTTTTCTTTCTCATTGCTAAGATATTTTTAAAAAATGATTAAAAATATGAGCTACTAGAATTGTATTCATTTACAGATATTCAAGAAAGTGTGGAAATCAACTGCACGGTTTCAATAATTCAATCATACACTTTCTATGGCACAAAATTCTACATGGTCTTCATTGCGATGTGAAAAACAATTTCCGTCAAAATCTAGGAATTTTTCAAAGTTTATAAAATTACCGTAAGAAGCCGTGTATTATTAATAAAAGAGTTAAATATGAGCTTTTGCTGTTCTCAGTGTTGAAATAATATTGAAAAGCTAATTAAAAGGGTGACAAGAATTGCAGAGTTAAATCAAAAAATTTTTCTCACTTACTCATGTAGTTTCAGTAAGTTGTATAGTAGTAAAAAATATACCAGGTGAATATTTTGGAGTAACCACAAAATATTAAGACTCCCCAGTATGAAAATTGTGATTTAAGATGATTATTAAGGGATTTAAGATTTTTAAGACTTTTTTAGGTGGTCACTCCGTACCGCCCTAGTATGTCTTAAAACACCCTGTATATAGAAGAAACTGTAATAGAAATATCTTGCAGCAGTTCATTTCAAAAATTAATATCAATTTTTCTATGCTATGTAAAAAATATTCCAGGGTGAAGAGAAAAATTTGAATGATTTCAATATATAGCGTTACTGTAATTTTCTAAAATCTTTCACGCATTGTTTCACTAAAACATGTTATAATGTCTACTGTACGAAACATATTATCGAAAATTGATTTACTCATAATATTATATAACTCCTTCGAGTAAAGTTAATTATTGTAGTAATTTTACTAATGAAATCAATAAATCAACATAATTAATGCACTTTAATTTCTGCAAGTAGTCCACATCGCTGGGAATAATAATTAATAATATCACATTGTTTAAGTGGTCCTGTACTGCTTTTATGGATTATTATTGATGAACTCTTAAGAACTGGATAAATAATTAATAGTCGCTGATTAAAGTACTCCGCATGTAATTAAGATTAAATCTCGCAAAAAATACTTGCTACAAATACAGCACTTTGCAAGTTTTAACATTTCTTATTTTTAAAACAAAAGCACTGCACACCGTTAAAAAATATTTCTAAATATAGTTTACTGGTTAATGAATCAGAATGAGGAACATTTATACATTTATTTCATTATTACAAATGAAAGGAAAACTTGTTAAAAAAAGAATTATTTGTGTATAACCTAACTGGATGAGGTTGATTTTTAACGCTGTTAAGATTATGTTTACATGTTTTTTGTCTAACTGACCTTTGATGATGATTATTGTATTTTTATATAAATTCTTCCTGTGCATAGAAGCTGTTGCAAACAAAGCATATTAAAGACAATAGTACCATGAATTTATTTTTGGCTAGTTTCGCCAGTTAACATAAATAAGGGATCACAGTAAATGAAAATATACAGTGCGTTTCATTTCAAATTAATACATAGCCACAACTTCCTTCACAAGGGAGACAAAGAAAAAATATTTTGACTATTGTTTAAAGGTCATCTCTTTGCACTTTTTGATGTGTGATGTGTGTCTTGATCAAACTATTACGTCATCAGAGCGAGAAAACAAAGTAGCCGATAAAAAAAGTAATGCAAGTAATATTTTCTTAATAAAATTATGAATATTGATAAGTTTTTACGAGATACGCAATTTCAGTGGACTAGACAACACACTGTATATAAAATTTATCGTTATATATTTTTTAATTATATCTCCACAAATATTATAATCCTGACGTAGTATTCTGAGAATATCGGTGATATATTATCTAAAAATAATTGAATATCTTTAAATATTAATTATAATTATCGTCTCCCCATCTCCTTTCAAATAAAAACACAAGTAACGGTTAAAGATATGATACATGAACCAGTGCCAAGTATTTAAGTGCACTTGGCAATGACAATGATTGATGCTCAAAATTCTTATTAAAAATAAATGTACGTCGAATATTAACATTCGTTAAGAAAATGGCGAAAGTAACAAAAGAAAGAAGTGATTTAGTTTTAGATCACAATAACTACAGTTTATAGACATCACTTAAATTAATTTCATATGTACCATTTTTTAACTCAATAAATTGATCAAAACATTGGCCAAATTATATTGGTACATACAATTGTTCACTAAAAATTGATGACTCGAATTTTTTTTGTGTAGTGGCCTTCTTGAAGTAATGAACGAATTATGATGATCCAATTGGTAATCCATGAATTCTGAAATGTTTTTTGAGAAAATCATTTTAAAACTACTTTTTTATTAAAAATCTACTACGTAGCTTTAATTCAGCATCAACTAAAAACCCTGAATATAAGCTGAATATTTTTTTATACAGATTTCATATTTTAAATTTGATTGTGAAAATATTAAGTCTTCCCCCCTCCTAAAATGAAAATAATTTACATGCGGTCATATTCAGTAGCGTCTATGATTGACTAATTTTCCATATTCAATTTTTCAAAGCCTTCTAGATTTTTAAATTAAATGGAAACATAAACTAAGCGTTTAAACTTTATATGCAAGTCTATGTCAGTATGAAAGAATTGTATTGAATATAAATGTAATTCGAATACTACGTTTCAGAGGTATTTTAGAATGGTACCCTAGTTCTTAGTGGGCCATAGTGTATTTATAGAAAAATTGTTGTAAATTCCTTCTAGTTTTAATAAATTGGTGAAAATAGAACAACAATAGAAGAGGTTCCAATTATTGATCCTTGGGGAATTCTATTGATTTTTAATATTCGTTCAGTAAGGACAATTTTAGGTATAGTCTATATATTCTTGTTTTTATTTCAAATATTTCAAACATAGGTTATGTATCGCACCTGTACTGTAATTATATTAGTAGTTATCAGTTTAATATATTTCCGATAGAGTTTATAAAATCAATGGTATTAAACTTGTCCCAGCAACAATTTTCTTTATTATGTTATTCTGCGGATAAATTTGTTAAAATATAAAATTAATGTTAGTAAAGGATAATATACAGCATTTGTCATTTAGCTTGAAATATGGACCACAGACTTCTATAATAATTTTAAACAACCTATCAATATACAAATGTTAATGTCTGTTGAGATACAACTCGCTGAATGTGGGACCACGAAACAATAGTTATTCATATCAATACAAAACTGTTTTACTAAGTGACTTCTTGGTTGGTCTACTTCTTTCTATATTTGAACCTACATACTGTTCGAATATTCAAGAAAGTGATATAAAGGAAACTCCAACTACTTGACTATCTCATAACAATTTTGTACGTTTTTTTTTTTTCATACAAATAGATTTTTAAAAATGTATCTCCTAATAAATAAAAATGTGTACCTCGTATGAAATCCCTTAAAACAGTTTCGATGTTTGGTGGTGCCATGCACACAAGCCATGTCTCAGTAGGTAATAGCTTTTACTAGTTATTAGTATTTTGGTCCCAGAAACGGGCGTTTGAAAGCTTTGATATCCCAACTTTTTTGAACACCCTATATAAAAAATACTTGTTAATAAATAAAAGGTGAATAAATAAATATATCCACATATAATTCGCAAAAATTTCTAAATGCATTTCGATGTTTCCGCATTAATTGTTATGTAAATTTTAGATTAATGACGCAACAACTAACGTAACGTACAACTAACCACAAAATTTTAATCACCGCACTGGTATTCACTTACCATAGCGAAGAGTACGTTCCGGCTAACTGGCGGCATTTTGCGGTTGCTCTTCCCACCACTGCAACACGTCTGCTATGTTCTCCTTCTGATCGTCGGGCAACTCGTGTTCAGTTTTGAGGGAAATCACGGGCAATTCACTATTTTCCGTCTTTATTTGTACATTGAAATTAGGACTCAGTCTTTCTTGAGGAGGAGTATTGAACACAGGTATGAAGCAGTTCTGCTCACTTTTGTCCAAAGAGCTTGGTGAAAGCGAAGTGTCACTGTATATCCCCGGAGACAGGGAAGAGGTAGTGTGGATGTCATTAAGATAGGAAAGATCCTGACTGAATTCTAAATTCGGGTCCATAAGACCAGGATCAGAGAGAATGTGCTCGTCTACTATGGAGGGATCTAAGTTTTCTTCGTTTTTGTATATAAAGGTTGGGATAATTTGGTAAGAGTTTGAGGTACTGATTTTGATGAATTGCTGTTGGGAAAGTGGTGTAGATGTTGAGGTCATGTCGTCGTCTTCGGCTGGGGGAGATAACAGTTGGTATGAGTAAGAGATCTTTTGATTATGACTTCGATGGCTTGGGGAAGTAGAAGAACTTGGGGAAGGATATGATAAATCCGTAACATTCTCCGCAGTTTCGCCACCCTCTCCATCCATAGCTAGAAGGTCTTCTAGACTGCGTATGTACTCCACTGCCATTCTAAGAGTTTCCACTTTGCTAAGCTTCTTATTTCCACCTCTTCCGCTGGTATTCTCGAAGGCAGCAGCTATAAAATTAGGAATATGCTGCCTAAGGTTAGCGAAACCGTTATTCACTTGTTTGACTCTGTTCCTCTCTCTAGCGTTTCTCCTCGCCACAGCAACAGGTTGAGGGCTAGTCTTGATCTCCTTACCAGTCTTTGGTTTTTTCTTTGCATTGTTTGTCAAGAGTATATCATCCTTACTGAGTTCTTTGGGTTGCGGTAAGATGTGTTGAGGTTTCCTTAATACTATGATCTGCCTGTCGTTCTGCTGGTTGCTGACGTTGTTCTGTTGCAAGACGTTGCCCTTGCTGATGGGATTGTAATGCACCACACTTATTTGAGCCATAGCCAGTCACTAATTCGAGCTGTTTACTTATTTACATGTCTCGTGTAACGGCCTCGCTCCGGAGTTTGTCATCACTTAGGAGAGTTCGCGCCGGCCACTAATAAATAAATGACAGTCGACCGGATGTTGTAATTGGTTTGGCGCGCGATTAATTTTGTTTTAGAATTGTCGCGTGCGAGGATATTCTGAGGAATGAACCGAAGTTTGTGTCAGACAATTCCATCGAAACATTCGCACATGGCACGAGGCTAAGAGACCCCTCCCATTCCGAAGGGTGGTTTCTGGATCACCAGCTGTTGCAGTTAGGCGGCACACATATAGGGGACCCGTACGGTAAACAGAAAGCCGAGTATATGTGAATTCAGGTAAAGCTGGTCTGCGAGGGGCAAGGAAGTGGTTGTTGATTCAGAAAATAGCGGTAAATAATTTGAAATTCTCGCATTAAGAACTGTACAGCAGGCTTATAGGCTTATTAAACATTTAACAAATACGCCTAGTATATTCTTCACTAATAATAATTTATTTTAAAGATAAGGGCAGTTTCTTTATAAACAATTTTTCTTGTTATCCGTAATAGACCTATGATTTCAAATTGCCCCCATGATATTTTTAAAATAAATCAAACGTTTATTAGTTTTGTTAAGATACCCTGCAAATGAACTGACAAAAAGCTGAAAGATGTTCAGTATACAGAAACGAATATACATGTTAGTGAACCTATGGGTAGATTCATATTCTTGACTAATTGGACACGTATTTAGACCCGTATCCGTAGCACAAATTATCTCCCGAGAATCTAGGAAATTAGAAACACTTTACATATGGTGTCTTAACGAAACGTCTCGACAGAAATAGTCAACGTCGTTAAGGGCGATCTAACGGCGGCCAAAATATAAGTTTGCTTTCAAAATTTTTGCAACGTGTGCAAACATAAATATTTAATTGTATCTTACCAAATTTTGCGTTAAATATGTTATTTTTACAAATTCAGATTTTAAAAATAAATAAAATGAAGATACTGTAAAAAAGTATGGTCTGTTCAAAGTATAGAATGTGTTTCTTCCACAATTATTTTTCTTGAAAAAATAGACCTTGTTTTTATTTTGTTTCTTTTCCGAGAAAAAGCACGATTTTTCGCAAAAACGGTTATGACTAGTTCAACGAAATATCTGATTAATTTTAAAAAATAAAAAGACAGTTAAACACAAATATTTTTAATTTTGAGGATCTACTTTGATGTGTTCTGTAGAGTGATAGAAAAAAATAGTTTTCTTTGATGCGAACATTTAGAATTTACAATAAAATTTTTAATTAAATTTTATGTCTGCAATTAACAAGTAGATACTCTGATACATTTTACCATATAACTTAGAAATGGCGGCGTAGAAAAAGTGATAAAAGAAAACAAAATGAGGCAAGTAAACCATTTCTTTACTATAATTGTATGTACGTAGAATCAAGGCGATTATCAAAGAAAAAGTTAAAGTGTGAATGTATCGTATACCTATACTTTCCGATCTCAATTGAACAATGTGGCAGAATGTACAGGTTCGGTCGCTGACGCAGCAACTCGGCATTGAATATTTGAAAAACTAGTTCCCATTTTTATTTACCCATTCACATAAAGGTCTAGTCGCCCAGTTGAAGAATGAGCGTGCGGGCAAACGCGGCACAAACACAGCCGCGCTGGGCCACCTGGCCATAAGTTCGGTTGTCAACAAATGGCCTAACAGTGCAGTGCAGCGATGCGGAATTTGGTGTGATTCAGGTAATTTTAATTTATTATAGACACCTTCTATTAATCATTCATATTACAATTGCGAAATGTAGAAATAAGAGGGATATTTTGTTAACTAACATTATCACAAAATGGCATTTTGGAGACCTCTTGACACGGAACAAAATGAAATTTACCATCAATATAATAAAATTGTATGAGGACACAAATAATTAAAATATGTTGTTGGTCAAATGAACATTATAATAGAAATTTTCTACACATTATATACAAATTATTATAATTTTTTACCTGTAGCAGAAAACTTTTTTAGGGACGCCTATGAAATTCATTAAGTTTTATTGCTAGAAGTTTTTATACATGTACTGACTTCGGAAAGACTGTACTTTGTTCGAAATATTGATGTTCTGATAAATAATATAATAAACATTTGTATATATCCAATTAAAGAAAAAACATAAAATACACCACAGAAATGATGCAATTGCATCCAGTTATCAAAAAAATATATAAAGTACGAGGTCTGCTCAGAAAATAACGAGCTTTATTTTTCCCCTATTCACACACTTTTCCCAGCGGTGTTTCCATTTCACGAAATAGTCCTGGACAGCGTTATTTGAAATGGCTTATAAAGTATGTGACGAATTTGCTTTGATGTCATCAATAGTCTGAAAACGGTGTCCTTCAGCACTGATTTTAAATTTGGAAATAAGAAACAAATCGCAAGGAGCCAGGTCTGGTGAGTAAGGATGGTAATGATTAATGAATAAATACGATGACTCAAATCTTTCATATAGTCCCAAAAAATAAAGTCTAACGTCGACAAAATCGATGACGCGTATGAAAAAAAAGTTACAGTATCTCGTAAACGAGGCTCCAAATAAAAATCTTACAAGAGTAAAAAAATATAATAAAATGCCGCTTTACCTAAAAAATATTCGGAAAGCATAGGCGTATTCAAAATAAAATAGGGGGTTCATGGGTACTGCAACCCTGCAACACCCCCCCCCCCGCGTTCGCGCTTTGATATTTTAAACCAAAATTACACAAAAAGGTGCCGACTTAAGATCAAAACATGTGCTAAATTTTAAATAAATATATTGACAATCACCGAAGTGATCAATAAAAGTCATTTTTTAAATTTTAATTTTGACAATCTGTATTTTAAAAATGGGGCTCCGAAAAAGTGGCATAAGAAAAGTCCTATTATTTTAGTCCAAGGAATATGTTTAACTGCAACATCCCGTATAACTATTCATCATTAACTTTTCTGTTTTGATCACACTTTGAAAGTTGTCAAAAAAAATATTGATCTATATCGATTCATCGAGCCCTTTTTTCGACAAAAATAGATTTTTCTCGTAAAGGGTGTAAAAAAATTTACATTATTGTGCTACAGCTAGTCCGTCCCTGGCAAACCAAATAGGGCAAATTGTTTTCATGGGTCAATTTTTAAGGAGTCTTATCTGTTGTCCATCGTATTAAAAAATAATGAATTACACGAAGTATTTTAAAAGTTATTAAAATAAACTCTAGAGAAAATTTTTATAGCAACTTGTCATGTTATTTTAACGTCCCCTGTATAAATCCGAGAGATTACCCACATATTCTGAGACACTGTATATTTGTTGAACATTTTTAAAATGTAAATTTAAAATAGATTTAATCAGTTTATCAATACAGTGATTGTACATTGTATTATGTTGTATATACGTACAATATATTAAAATTTCCATTAACACAATGAAAAAAATACTTCGACTCAAAAAACAGTGGTCTTAGTTTAATGTATTGTCGAAATAAAATAAGTGAAAGATACTTCACTTTTCTATTCCAAGACCTATGTTTTTATTCGTTCTTTGCATAAAAAGGTACTGAATTTGTTCGTTACTGTATCTAAAAGATTTAAGAGAAACCGAGAAATTTATTTAAGCACATACCTTATCTGGGCCACTCCACGCCATCACGGGTATATACCGTCTAGGGACCATATGGGTCTGGTGGTTGAGTTTCGCTAACGTAAGGAAACGCTCTTAGTGTTGATTGAATGGCGCTGGATGCCAAATGTCGGATCAAAAGGAATACATCGCTATAAAAATAGATATTTTAAGTGCCACATGTGCCCATAATTGCATGTTGGATGCACCAACATGTGGCCTACCTTTTCATGTGAGCGTTTTTTCCTTTAACGCCCGTGTAATGCCCTTGCGCTTGGTACTGTGCAGAGAAGAATTCGTACAAAGGTTTTATTGCAACCACTATATTTTTAATGGTTGAAATGAATGTGGTAACATAGGTTTGTGGTTACGTCACAACCCGAGGGAATTAATTTTGACATATGAACTGTTTGTTATACTGGGTGTTTATAGATTATTGTGCCACAATTAAATGTTTTAGAAAATGTAATATTAAGCAAAAAGTTTACCATAAACATATCTTACCTCATGGTAAGGTTCTGAGAAGATTATTATTTTGATTTTAAAATATTATACTGATTAATGAATTTAGATACTTAATCTTGAGAAGGAAAAGACAAAAAAATATATTTGAATTTTAACTAATCACAGTTATTCCATTTCTCGTAGAAATAATTTCTAATTCATTTAATTATTCAGATTTACTATATTTCAAATTAAAATAAAAATTATATTATTAGCTAACACTTAAGGAGGTTTATCTGATTTGGAATTGACGAACAAATATTCATAAAAAAATTAATATAAGCTTCTTAATATGAAGAAAATCCTCAAACAAAATTTTGACTGGTATGGATACCTATGAGACGAGATAGTAGATAGTAATAAAATAATTTTTCACGATTTAGTACAGAGTCTTATGAGAATGCAGTTTTTTTTTGGTCTTTCCACTTAGAATGCACAACAATTGACGAACAGTTACCACAGCAACTTGTATAAATAGGAAACCGATATCTAAAGAACCGTATGATAGCTCGTAGAAATCGATTAGGTACTTGTAAGATACTATAATAATAATAATAATAATATTTATTTTATTATTTTATTTTATTTTTAATTTTTGTTTATGTAAGTATTTTTTTGTGTGTAATGATTAAATATTATTTGTGTAATTTTGAATATTCGTTTGGGCGCCTTTTGTTGTGTAGAATGTTATTTGTGTGTATTTAAAACAAAATTTTCATTGAATGTAGGTTCTCTTAATAAAATTTAATAATTACAATGACAAATATAGACGAATTGTACTTTCTTACCTTCGTTTTGCTACACTCTCCTCCGGCAGCTTT